GCCCAACTTCCAAAGAAAGACTTTCCTAGCTCAGCCCAATTTGCTTACAAATTACCCTCTTCAAAAACCATGTAAATGAAATCAACAGCAAATTGCTAGAGTCCATCAATGCATCAGGACAAATGTACATGAGTCATGTTGTTATTGAGGGAGTTTACGTCAATTCGTTTGCTAGTGGGTGCAACTCTTTCAAACTATCAATATGTGACCTGGCTTGGAAAGTGGTTCAGGACCAAGCACATTGCCATCCATGCTACTTCCTAAAATTCCCCACCTACTCTTCTTCCTTAAGCTTCCGAAGAAGTTATCTACCAGAGTAAAAATAGCCAGCTTTTTCTTGGGTAGTGTGTTGCAGATTGAATTGATAAAATGTGGTCTAAGTGTCAAAAAAATTTGAATCATAAATTGATATTTATGGGTAAAATTCGGGCTAATATTTCTGAAAAAGGTAGTATAGTGAATGGTTCCCCCTACCTCTAGGATGTTTAGCGAATAACAACTATTTGTTTTGAGTAATGAAATTATTAGTATAGTATGATTGAATGAGAATATTACTAGTATGATGGTATTAAATTAAAATTTTAATTAAATATATTTATTCGTGCACTATATAATGATATTAGTTGACTTGAGTAAATCTTTAAAATTATGCAAAACTCCTTATCATATTGAAGGTGATTTTGTTGTTTTTGTAAAACGAGAAGCAAAATAACATTTTACCTCCAATCCCATTGATTAGATTTCAATACAACCTTCCATGCGATTGCTAGTCCCTTCTTGAGGGATTTTCATAGTCCCACAGGATTCTTAATCTAGAGCAATTTTTTTAAATAAACATAATTTGTGATGGACCCACATCACTACTAAATTCAAATTTTTCCCCCTCTACCATCTCTGAAAAAAACAAAACATTGCCTAAAACACAAAAAAATAAGCTACTGTGTTTTATTCGATGGTCATGCTATGATACACATTCTCGTATGGAAATTTATGAGATTGTATGGTTACTTATCACAAATATCACAAGTAAACCAAAAAACTTTTTGAATCATAACTAAAAAATGTCATAACCAACTATAAATAAATATAACTAACACTACAATATCTATAACCAAGTCAATAACTAACACGTACAATAGATGAAACAAAAAAATCATAAAAGTCATAACTATGGCCATATGATATACATAGAATTTTCCTCTATTTCTGGCCATATTTTGTTTATATTTATTAGCGTATACCTTGCTGGATGGTTTAAAATAAATAATTAATAATGAATTTTAAATTAAAATTAAAATTAAAATTAAGCCGTAAAAAAATAATTAATTAAATTTTAACTATTTTTATCACATTCGCCTTATAGTTTTGCCCTGCCACCCCCCCCAAATTAAAGCTATTGTTTTAAGTTCTAATGAAAATAACAATTAATATGAATCATAATGTCATTAGTAAAAATTTGGCAAAAAATTTATTGGGGGTAAAAAAAAAAAATTATAAAAAATTGCAACATTTAATTTTATTTTTTAAGATAGGAAAACTACACCTATGATAAAATATAAATATATTTATTTTCTAAGGATTTTATAATTTTTAATTTTTCCATATATTAGAAGTTATTTGTAAAATTATGTGAAACTCAATTATTATTAATTATTATTATTATTATTATTATTATTATTATATTTATTATTTTATTATATTATTTTATTACTTTTGCTAATTACATTTTTTTTTAAGTAGCCATTATTTATAATAATAATAAATAAATAAATTAATTTATTTAATTTATTTGTTTTGGTAAACTCTGATAACGCCCCCAAAATAATTACAATTAATCAACGCCAAATACTAAACAAAGTGATAATAGATGAAAAATAATGAAAAACCATTTATTTTTTTCATAAATCAAAATATAGTACCGAAAAGGTTGCATATCGATATACATTCATAAATACATTCATTCTGAATCTACATCATGTGTTACAAGGGATGAAAAAGAATGGAAAGCGAAACAAAATATCATATGCCCTAAAAATTTACATCTTTCCGAATGAGCTGTTTCTTGGCTTATAACAACATGAGTTATAAGCTCAGTTTATATAAATAAAACCCTAGGTTGTGTACAAAAAGGTAAATACTAAAATAAACAAAATGGTGAGCCTTTAGCTCTACAACCTCCCAAGGCGTAACGTCCTTGGCCGAAAGCGCATGATCACCAGCACCCTGAAAATGATTTTTCCCAAGTAGGTAAGCCAAAGCCCAGTAGAAAAACAAATCTACAATCTAGCCACTATATATTGAATTTCTTAACAAAGACTATAAAGTATGATATGCCATATACAATGCTTCATGGCTTAAAATCATTCATATTTTCACAAAAATTCGATAATATGTCAAGTGTCATATCTCAAATCCATTTTCTCTTTTTAGTTCATTTCATGACAATTCATCTCCACCTCAATTCATGAGTCAAATCCATTATTATCCAACAAACCCAACTTGATGTTACAACTCAGTTGTTCTCTAATCAATTACAATCATTACCACCAAAAATACTTCAATTTGCGCATTTTACAAGAAAATTTTCATCCGCGGGGAATCAGCACCTATGTATATGACAATGGCTTTCTCAGGACTTATCACACTGGACATACATGCCAACTTAATTTCAAGGAGTCATCCCATTTCTTCTTCCCCAAACTGGAGTACGTTCTCTTTTTCTTCTACCAAATATCATACATATATAATGTATTAAGACAGTAGTTCATATTCAAATTGACAAACAATTAAGATATTAGTTTTCAATTCACATAATCCATCATGTAATTTCTACAAAACCATAGCTATCCTCCACCGATAGCCCATCTCTCTCTGGTAAGGCAGGCAAGCCAAAGCCAGCAGCATGTTGTTAGCTTCTAAAAATCTTTATGACGAACTGGCTTTGCTTTTGGATAATTAACAACTTCAGGTTGTGCTTATATGTAGAAATTTTCACCATAAACATAATCATTGTTTCAAATATGTGTATGCTTGAATGGATTGCTGCAAAAATATATACTAGAGTGGATATGATTAATGATGCAAGTCCTAGTTATATATTTTCTCAAATGGCCTTGCTCGACTACAGTTGGGGTTTACTAATAACTATCATTGATTGTTCTATTTTGTTTGTTTTTAGCTCCTCTTTCTTGCTTTCTCATTGTCATTTTGGTGGTTGTTGATTCTTTGTTGACAGAATGACTTCAACTTTGAGGACAGGGATTGGATGACTGTCCATCCGAAAGAATTTCCAACAGGGTCACAATTGGTGAGAATAATGTTTCTTTTATTTAATATGCTAGATTTTGAAATCCTAGGGCTATAAACAATCACTTGACAGAACATCTAATGTTCTGTGTGATAGTGGGAGTATATGGAGCACATTGGCTTTGTACTTGTTTAGTTTGCATGCCCCTCTGAGTTTTGGAGGGTTGTCTATGGTTGCCCATGTTTGCATATATTTAGTTTCAAAAAGGCCACATATGGACTTAATAAGAAAGAAAGTCCATCTATGAATTTCCAAATGATTTGTGAATTAGAATTGGTTGAAACCATCATTGTGGGATGGGATTCTTCATGCTAATGTCTGAAGTATATGTATGAGTATGATTACTAATGGCTGCATTGTAGGAACCATGCAAACAACATTTGGAGTTGCATTTGGTATGTGTCTGAATTTTTTTTTTCTACAATAAGTACATACTAGATTTATTTCTTACTCTTAATTATCTTAGTGCCTTTTGAATTTTATTTATTTATTTATTTTTGGTTTTTTCATGATGGCTGCTAGTGCTCTTTCTGTCACATTATCACGTTTGTTCCATAACATTGCCCTAGTTTGTTACAGTTAATTACTTATAATTACTTTTAAGTAATTTGTTAATGTGTATTGTTGCTGTTAATAATGTCTAATAACGTTTTTATTATATCTAAACTTGTCCAATTCTCATAGATGTTTTATTTTGTTTTAAGTGAGGCATTTGGAGTACCATCTTAGCAGTCATGGCAAAAAGTGAACTTAATGTCATGAAGTAGTAATGTGTCATGATCTGCTCATGTCTGTAAATATTTTTAATTTTTTGTTATGTCATAAATTTCCATTGGTCAATTTGTATTTTTTAAAAAATGTTTATGGCTTAATTGGTTCCAATTTATTTTGAATGTTAAAGGTGATCAAATGCTCGAGTTACTGTGAATTGTGTAATTTGAATTTTGCTTTTGTTAGTCTCTCTCTCTTTTTTTTTTTTTTTTTGGAGGAAGGAATACATATTTTGATTAGATTTTGTTGTTTTATTGTAAATTTATGAGAAACTTATTTATAAGTCATTTTTTAAACACTTATGGTAGGCTAAGTCCTGTGTAATTTCTTATAGAGTATCAAGTCTTATTTAGATAGGAATGTATTCCACAAGATCCTACATAAACATAACGTGACGTGACACATAAACGTAACGTAATGTGACACCTATATAAACGTAACGTAACGTGACACCTACATAAACGTAATGTGACACTTACATAAGCGTAACGTAACGTGTTACGTTACGTTTCGCAAACTTAATGAGTTTTTATTTTTTTAAATTGAATGTGAAAATGTTGCTGGTTTATGTTGGTGTCACGTTATATTTCATATAAATATGATCTATGGTAATATTCAATTTCCTATATAAGAAATTGAATGTTGTCATACATTATAGGTGTCACGTTACGTTACGTTTATGTAGATATGATCTATGGTAACATTCAATTTCCTATATATGGTTTTACTATTATTTATGTTATTAACATCTAATATTGAGGATAAATGTGTCAACAAACTTCTCACAGGACTTATGGGAACATGAAAAATTCTGATTTGGTTCATATTTAAAAAAAAAAAAGGCTTTTAGCGACGTTTTAATGAAAACGCCACTATAGGTTAGTATGGGCAACTTCTATGCCGTTGTTTAAAAAACGCCGCAAAAGATCTTGTACGGCGTTTACAAAACATCGCTAAGTTATATTGACGATCGCATCTTCGACGTAATTTTAAAACACCAGTAAAAAATTTTCCGACGTTTTTGAAAGCTTTAGCGAAGTTTTTGAAATGCCAATAAAAGCTAATTTTCCTGCAGTGTCACCCAATAACACCAACTAAAACAACCACACAACTATGAGCACCTTCTCTACTACATCATACATTATTACTCCCGATCTGCCAAAATTACTGAAAAACAAAAGTCAGAAGATGAAATGAAATTTGCATCGATTATTCTGATTCAACCATTGCTCTGAAGAAAAAATGAAATAGAAAGAGGAGGTGGAAAGTGACTTTTAAGCAATATGTTAATATTCATTAGGTCAAATTATATTGATAGTTCTTACATTTTATTGTTTGTGCCATTTTAGTCTGACAATTTCAATTGGCTCAATTTTGACCATTAATTTTAAATTTTGTATTAATTTAGTTAAATTGATAACGCCATTAGGATTTTTAAGATAAAGTAAAAAAATTCAAGGTCAAAATTAAATTAATTGAAATTATATTAATTTCGATTGATCCATTGACATGATTTGAATTAGGAATGTTCACAGATCAGTTTGGTTCAATTTGACACTAAATTAGAATCAACCTAATCATGATCGGTTCTAAGTTTTTGGACTTTAGAACCAAACCAATCATGCAATAGAACCAACACAAACCAACCCAAGGTTCCACTATATTAAAAATAATTAAATCAATCAATAATAAGTAATTAAAATAAACTAATCTTTAATATTTAAATATAACACAAACAAAGGGAAAAATACTATTTAATGTAAACTAATACAAATTAAATCTAAGTCAATCTTAAATGTAACCAATATAAATTAAATTGAATAAAGCAATACGTATCAGTTGGTATACTAATTAGTGTACTAACGGATGATATGTCATAATTTTAGAGGCTTTGCGTCTTGTAGTTTGTATAATGGGTGAGGTCCATAATTTTAAAGTGCCAATGTCATAGCATATGTTGGTATACTAATTAGTATATCAATCGGTGCAACACTCAATTAAATTTATTAATATAACAAATACAAATTAAATCAATTGAGAAATCTAACTCAAACTTCTTGTACTTCATTCACCTAAAAATTTTTATATGTGGACAATTATTACATGCAATCAAGTCTATATTAATAGACCAATTAGGTGAACGTGTCGATATAAATATTTTTAAAAAAAAAGTACATATAAAAACAAGTTCAATTCTCGGGTTAGTTCGGCTTAAGTAAGGCCTAGACTAAGAACCAACCCAATTTTTATCGATTTGATGATTTGGAAACCTAAAACCAAACCAATGCACTTAAAAATCAACTCAATATGTATTTTGATATAAAAAATAATACTAATAGAGAACTACTATAGGTCACTATTTATTTTCCTCAAACTTTTTCATATCACCAAATTATATGACAAGATGTTATTTACTTTCGCTAATTGCTTAATATTTTTTGACAAATAAACAAACTAATTAGAAGTACCATAGTAATGATATAGAACAGTGGCAAAAAATCGATGATATGTAACATTTCTCGAAACATATAGTAGGTATCTTTTAATTAATTAATTAGTGAGAGGAAGTCATGGGTATCCTATTTTATAGGACATGGGTAGTTGATGAGACTGAAATTATCTTTGGTATAAAAACAAAAACAATATTAATGAATGAAGAGGGAGATTGTTTATTTGAGAAGTGTTCCATTGTGAAATGTATGAGGTTTGGTATGAAAAGGACCAATTAGAGATCTTCAAGGAGTATTTCTTCTCTAACTTTTCTTAATACGTAAGTGATCGTATTATAATCTCATCCAAAAAAAAAATAGAAAGGAAAAATATAAAATAAGTTTGATAACAAGTATGGATGCGGACCTCGTTTGTCAAACGAGATCAGCTTTTCGGATGCGGACCTCCAAGGCGTCACCATTCCACATTATGACGCCCTTAATTGAAGTTGCGAGTTAATAACTTTGTCGTTGAGTGCATCCTGATCGACCAAGGGAGCATCTCTGAAATAATGTAATATAACACTTTCCTCAAACTCGGCCTTAGGGATGCGGTCCTTTTGCTAGCCGAGTATCCTCTTTTTGGCTTCAACGCCAATCCAGAGTACCCCCTGGAAAAAATCGTACTACCAGTGCGCGTGGGGACGAAAACGCTAGAGGTTAAATTCCTAGTTGTGAAATTCCCCCCGCCCTACAATATAATCATGGGTCGAACGTGGCTTTACACAATTCATGCTATACCAAGCACCTGCCATCAGCTGCTTTGTTACCCAACTGAGCATGGAATCGAACAGATTCGTGGTTCACAGAGGCCAGCAAAATAGTGTTACGTGTCGACCCTGGTCAAGAAGCCTAGGGATTTGTAAGTAAATTCGATCAAGATTCCGAGCTAGGAGAGTCTTAAGGACGACGGAAAAACCCCAGCTGACAAGGTTACAGAGGATTTAGAATGAATAACTATCAACGAAGATCCCAAAGATTCTTCTTAATTGGCACAAGTCTTAGTTGTTCTGAACGACAAGAGCTAATATCTTTTCTCCTCGGTTACATTGATGTCTTCGCATGGATGTTGTATGATATTCCAGTAATTGATTCAACCGTTGCTATACATAGCCTGAATGTTGACACAAAAATTAGGCTAGTGATTCAAAAGAGCCGTCATTCAGCCGCCGAACACACCGCAACTGTGATTGATAAAGTCGATAAGTTACTAGAGGCTGGGGCAATCCGGGAAGTTACTTATCCCACATGGTTATCTAACATCGTTGTGGTGAAGAAGAAGACATGATCATAGTGAGTCTGCGTGGACTTCACAAATTTAAATAAATACTGCCCAAAGGACTGCTTTCCTCTCCCCAAAATCGATCAACTTATTGACGCAACTGCCCAGCACCAGCGTATGAGCTTCTTGGATGCTTACAGGGGGTATCATAAAATCGCCATAGATCCTACCGACTAAGACAAGACAACGTTCCTAACCTCGAGGGGAACTTATTGTTACAAAGTCATGCCCTTCGGCTTGAAGATTGCTGGGGTAACATATCAAAGGCTAGTCACAACCATGTTCAAAGACCAACTCGGCAAAACTATGGAGGTCTATATCGATGACATAGTGGTAAAATCTAAAGCAAAGGAAGATCACTTGGTCGACCTGGCTACGACCTTTGACATTCTTCGAAGGTACAAAATGAAGCTCAATGCCTCCAAGTGCACTTTCGGTATTGGGTCAAGGAAGTTCCTTAACTACATTGTAAACCATTGGGGGATTGAGGCCAACCCAAAGCAAATCAAAGCTGTTCCAGAACTTGGCTCACCAGAATCGACCAAATGAGTGTAGAAATTGATGGGAATGGCCGCAGTTCTAAACAAATTCATCAGTTGGTCTTCAAATCATTGTAGGCCATTTTTTCAAACACTTCGATAGGGAAGATCATTTCAGTGGACTCTGGAATGCCAAATTGCTTTGGATGACATGAAGCACTATCTCGATGCCGCTCCACTTTTGGCTACTCCTACCCTAAGAGATGTGCTCCTAGTGTATCTGGTAGTGTCTAAACGAGAGGTCAGTGTCGTCCTACTCAAGGATGAGCACGGAGAGCATAAGCCTATTTTCTATGTTAACAATCAGGACGAGTTTCCAAATGGGCAGTGGAGCTTGAACAATATGATATTCAGTTTGTGGCCAGAACAGCTATCAAAGAGCAGGTCTTGGCAGATTTTGTAGCCAAATTTACTATGCAACCGAATCTGGACCCTCAGCCCCCATCGGCCACCAATCCATTGCCACATTAGAGACTTTACGTGGGGGATATTTGGCAATTGTATTGTGACGAGTCCTCCAATTAGCGGGGCAGCAGGGCAAGAGTTGTGATAATCACACCTGAAGAAACAGTCATCAAAAGTCAGTAAAACTCGACTTTAACGCATCAGTAATGAGGCCAAATACGAAACACTATTGGTTAGCCTCAGAAACTCACTACAGATGGGGGCCAAGCGAATGCAAGTGTTTTGTGATTCACAGCTAGTCATCAATCGGTAGAAAGGCGAGTATGCAGCTAGAAATGATCGAATGATAGCCTATATGAGGTTGGCCAATTCTTTGCTTGAGAAATTTGACCACCACAAACTTAATCAGATCTCTAAAGATCAAAATATACACGCCAATGCCCTCGCCTGTCTAGCTTCAACTGTCAACTTTGAATTCAAACGAACCATTGAAATGATTTTTTTGCTAGAGCCGAGCGTCAACGTCCCCGAGCTCCCCACTATAGTGGGGACTCCCGATCTCGGTCCTTCCACTAGAGCCGACTTGTTCAGAAGCTTAGGTCAATTGCTGGAGGACAAGAAAGATGTTCACAAACTACGCAACAAGGTCTTGAGTTATTATCTGGACCCCCAAGGCAAGTTCAATAAAAAAATCTCTTTCCGGACCATACCTAGAATGCATCCACCCGGATAAAGTTGAAGACTTACTGGCCGAAATACACGAAGGCAATTGTGGCGCCCATTCGAGAGGTAGGTCATTAGCTCATCGAGTCGTCACCCAAGGATACTGGTGGCTAACTATGCGCAATGACGCTGAGGAATATGTAAAGAAATGTGAACGGTGCCAAAAGTCCTCTCCTCTAACTCGTCAGCCCACCGAATAGTTAAAATATGTGACTAGCCCGTGGCCTTTCACTCAATGGGGATTGGATATTGTCGGACCATTACCAAAGGCTCCTGAAAACAAACAATTCTTAATTATTTCAACCAAATACTTCACGAAATGGGTTGAGGCTGAACCATTGGCTCACATCAAAGACACAGATATCAAGCGCTTTGTACGAAAAAACATCATAACTCGATTTAGCATACCCAGGGCGCTTGTCTTAGACAATGGCACTTAATTTGATTATGGCGTCTACCGAGAGTTGTGTAACATATATGGCATTCGACCCTACTTCTCCTCACCCACCTATTCACAGAGTAATGACTAGGCTGAAGCGTCCAATAAAGTAGTTTTGGATGACATCAAGAAGTGCTTGGAAAAGGCCAAGGGCAGGTTGGTTGAAGAACTATCGAGCGTACTTTGGGCCCATCATACTACCCGAGATGATCCACAAGGAAAACACCATTCACATTGTGCTTTGGAAACGAGACAATTTTCTCCCTTGAAATTGGCCTACCCACTCTGAGAACAAGGGCTTTCGATACAAGCCATAACGACATGAAGTTGGCCTTGGATATGAACTTACTCGACCAACGCCGAGATCGAGTCCTTGTAGCTATGGCACGATATCAGTAACAACTAGCCAAGTCCTACAACCGGCATGTACATCGGCGCTGATACTCCCCTGGTAAGTTAGTACTTAAAAAGGTTTTAGCCGCTGCCAAATATCCGACTGATGGGAAGCTCGGCCCCAACTGGAATGGTCCGTTCCAGATTGATTCCATTGTCAGGGTAAGGGCATATCACTTTTTAGATATGACTAGCATGAAGCTACCCCGGCCTTGGAATTCAACTCATCTTCGCAAAATTTATCATTAAATTACCGAATGTAACTCTTTTTGCACCACCCTTGTGTAATTACAGTAAAGTAGCGTTACTAGATGTTCTGTTCATATTTATCTGTGCTTTGCTCGCCTTTTTCAAGCAAGTCTCCGAATTCTGAGCGCCCTTCATACTCGACAAGTGTACATGTCTAGTATGAAGTGCCAAAACAAGTCTCCGACTTTGCAGCGCCCTTCGTGCTTGGCAAGCTTGCATATCCAGTACGAAGTGCTAACGCAAGTCTCTAACTTTGAAGAACCCTTTTGTGCTCGGCATACGTGCATGTCCAGTATGAAGCGTTGATGCAAGTCTTCGAATTCGAAGTACCCTTCGTGTTTGGCATGCATGCATGTCCAGTATGAACTGCCAAAGCAAGTATCCGACTTCGAAGCGCCCTTCGTGCTTGGCATGCGTGTATGTCCAGTACGAAGCGCCAACGCAAGTCTCTGAATTTGGAGCGCCCTTTGTGTTCAGCATACGTGCATGTCCAGTACGAAAGTGCCAAAGCAAGTCTTTGACATTGAAGCGCCCTTCGTGCTCGGCATGCGTGTATGTCCAGTACAAAGCGCCAAAGTAAGTCTTCGAATTCGGAGTACGATTTTTAAGTTTTAGTACCATTTTTATTAAGAAAAGAGGGAGTTGAATCTGCGAATGATGCCAAGCATAATTTTTATTATCATAGTCAAATTTGATCAGAGTACATTATGGATCTATTTATCCTAAAATCACGCAACATTATTTTTACAAGAAATTCAAACTTAAAAATTCAACTAGAATGGACTAAGTCGACGGTGTCTTTTCAGGGATGGCAACTTCTTCCTCATCATCTGTTTTTTCGGCGTCATAGGCTTCGAACGCTATTGTATAACTATTATACAGTGGCGATGCCGAATCTATGCCCGCCGTTTGCAATGCCTTGATCCAACCATGCTTGAAGCTGCGATTGTCGTATCGACAAACGTCATCGGAGAGTTCCTCCTTCCTTCTATCAATGTCGATCTTCCACCCTTTAAGAAATCCCTTATTATAAGCTCAAGATTCTATGTCCTCGCGCGCAAAAATGCTGGCAGTATCCCTATTGGCTATTGTATAATCCAATAGGCGCTGCGCAAGCAAATCTTTTGAAGGGTTCGATGCACTAGCCGTTTTGAGTTCGGCAATCTTTACCTTCCAAGCCTCGTTTTTGAGTCGTTCGTTGGCCTCCTCTAATTGGCGCTCCAAATTACGTATATGACCACCTTGGTGATCAATTTCTTTCTAAGCAGTGTGCAAACACGTGCCGATTTCATAGGAGCTATAGAGCCACTTAATAGCCTCATGAATTCCCTCTAAGAACACCTCATTGTCTCTTTAGCTGGCCACAGACTGGTGAACTTCGAAAGAAAATATATGCCGAATAAACTCAACTGCCACATTTGGATCATGGACGATCGAACCAACTTCGGTCATTGGTTTGTTTCCAATAAACACTGAAAAACTTAATGGCCACGGTGGTTTGCTCGGCTCATCATGAACTGAGGATTAGACACCAGTAGTTCTCACATTTACCCCCGTCTACGTCCCATTCTTGGGGGATCTGCCTGGTTCATCTCTTCTGGGAGATCTGTTTCTCCTTCTAGAAGACTTACGCCTATCCATGTCTTCTCCTCCAGCTCCTCCAGCTCCTCCAGCTCCTGCATGAGCAGCGTCACTACAAGCTTCCTGATTTATCTCAGCATCTGTCTTTGCTAAGTTTTTCCCTTCTCCTCTGCTGCTATAAAAAATCTTGGCCGATATACGTGATCTAGACCTCAGCAAAGAAATTTCTCTATATACAGTGTCGCTCAGATTTTGCGTTACAAAGATCAGCCTTTTTTGTGCAATGTAAAAACCCCATTTAAGAGCATCTCCAATGCACTAGGCATATAATACTTGTTAGTTAAAATGCCTAGTGTGATTCACTTTTTTCAATTCCAATGCACTAGGCATATGATTAGGTATTTTGCCTCAACTCATATTCACTAGCTACATGTAGCTAGCCTTCAATGCTAGGCAAAATGTATTCAATCATTAGGATCATTTCCCTCCATCTTTGTTGTTGACGTGGCATTCTATAAAATTAATAATATTTGGATAAATAGCTAAAATAAAGAGCATGGTTGGAGTAAAAACATAAAACAGTCAATAGACAAAATAAAATATATACTTTATAGTAATATTTAGATAGGTAAACTACCTACTACCATTGAAGATGCTCTAAGGCACTTACGGATGGCTACGGATACCGCCTGGCATTAATTATGCGTGCACTACATCCGATGCTCCATAAATCTTGACACGTACATAGTCACATTAGGGTGAAAGGCCGATACACGATTTGGTATTCGGCGTCGTATACGTGCTCAACGGCAAGGGCATATATATAAATCTATATGGCACGATATCTATTCAAATACTAAAAAATGCTGCATTGGCGTCCAGTGCCCCACTTGAGCACCTGATCGTGTGGTCCTTGCGTCAAATATGCATGTCAGTGAAAGATATTATACTTGGCGTACAAGCAACATTCTTAACGTGCAAGGGTAGATATATAAATATACTCGGCATGGGACGCTGAAGGAACAAACTGGTGCCGAATTGGTATCTAACACCCATTTTGGCACTTGTACCATATTACTTAGTGTTTGATCCGAATAAAAATATGAATGTTAATACATTGCACAACTTGTATCCATTTCATAATATGGATCATGAAATTTGTCGATAAATGTTCAAACTGTTCAATCACCATTAATAATCCAATAAACCATAGTTTGATGCACAATAGACTCTTTTCATTAATAAACTAATTTAATACATGTGTTTCACTTTATACATGAAGACGGCCCATACATGTAAAATAAAAATAAAACCCATAAACGAATATCGCTTACAAAAATCAACTAGTTACTAAAATTAAAACTGAGGCTACCGAATCCTTAGATTCCTTTAGATCTCCTCAGGGTCCGACTCTAGAGGCTCCACTTCTAATTGCTCGTAAAGGATTAGCATCTCTAGTGTGACCTTCGTGACTGCTAAGGCTTTGAGCTAGCCATGCTTAAAACCCCTATTTTCAAACTTTATGGGCTCATCAGCGTATTTTTTTGTAGCCGGCATCTCTCTGGCCTCAAAGGCTTTGGTGGTCGCTGACTATGCTTCTTCAGCTGCTGACTTAGCTTGCTAGAGCTCAACCTTGAGTTGCTCCAACTCCGCTTGTGCCATCTTCAAGTTGGTATCTATGAAGTTTGCCCGCTCTTCGACAGCACGGCGCAGCATATCGACATGCCTCGTCTTTTCTTCTTCCGCAGCAGCTTTTATCCACTCCTCTTCGGCCCTTTTCACTTCAAACTTGGCCTTTACGTTGGAATGGCTAGATTAACTAAAGCTGATTTAGCCGTATTCTTCTTGGCTGACACTTCAGCCTTCAACGAATTTATTAATTCCACAGTACTATGTTGGCAACGGTCGATTTCTGCAATCCATTCGACGACCTGAAAATAATGGGCAAGTAAGGAAACCAGGAGTTGAAAATCCTAAACCTAAAAGCTTGTAGTATACTGACCAAAATGGCCTGTTGTGCTGCCAAGGTGATCGAAACCACATTTGGCTCGGCTCAAAGTACAACTTTGTCAATAGGAAGGGTAATTGTCGCAACCGTACCCAACGCCACAGTGGGATCCTTCATTGCAGAGGCGCTGGTTGGAATCACTGATCCTTTGACCTTCGGCTAGATCACGAACGACGCCGCTAGGTCAAGAGTGGGAGAAGGTCTCAGCCTCTTGTCAACCAGTTGTTTGACAATCTCCACGGATTCAGCCAGACGTTTCTCAGCCCTGTGTTCGGCCACGTCTCCTCAGCCGTCAGCTCTACGATGGGTTGTGCTGATTCCACTAGGTTGGCTTCAGTAACTTCAACCACCACTTGAGGGGCTTCTTGACTTCCCTTAACTCTCGCCACTTTTTGTCTTGCCATCATCTTCTTGACGTTTCTTCTCCTGGAAAACTAAGCATCTGATTCAGCAGTCTTGCCTTCAGAGCCGACTCCAAGAAAGTCATTCAGATCTATAAATATATCTTCCTCGTGGGGACTCCCGATCTCGGTCCTTCCACTAGAGCCGACTTGTTCAGAAGCTAAAAGCTGCCTATTAAGTTACTCTTCGGCTTGGCGAACGTCCACCTTGACGTTTGCGTCTTGCACTACTTCAAACCTGACTAATTGATCGTATCCCTACTCGACTTCGCGATCACCGTTGCCAGCTTGCTCACTAGCTGACGACTCCTCAAGTCCGGTGTCGTTCAAATTAAGGAAGCTTGGAAACACGAGAGCCGCGAGACGTTGTTCAAATTATGGGTCATATATGAGCATGATATGGGTGGCCTGACCTTGTCCTTACAGATTTGGCTGACCAACAAAGTCCATGATGATTTTTATTTGGGCGAGTACAACCTCGTCTGCTGAAGTAGGGGACTTTTTGAGGTCGTTGCCTGCACGAAAGAGATGGTTAGCATGCAAAATGAGTGCCGAACAAAATCAGGAATCAAAATAGAGTAGTTGGCAACCGGGTCCGCCCTTACGCCTAGGCACAAGAGTTAGGTGATCTTCCTCCTCGTCGAACTCCTAGTTGCCTCGAACGGCAACCATCACGTCATCCACCCTTTTGCTAGAACTGGAAAGCATGGTGACCAGATTGTGATTGGTGTCCTTGGCTCTAAGAAAATAACGCCCCTGCTGACCAGAAGATTGGCAAGGACATAGCAATGCCGAATAACAGGAATTCCTTGGTCAAGGGGAAGATGGTGATTCAATTTTACGACGCCTATTATGATTCGGTAAAAGTTTACGTTTGGCTAAGAAGGAATCAAACCCCAATGGCGCAAAACAAACCTAAGGGTAGGATGAAGGGGGAAACATACACCTCCCTCGGCAATCGCCAAAAGAAGGAAGACGATGGTGTTTACATAAGTCCTCTCCATCTCTAACATGGGATAGGTGAATGTCGTCAGGGATGGAAAAGTGATGACAAAAGGCGGCAATTCTATCCTAAAAAAGAAGGGCCTTTAAATGTTTCACCATGGGAGGACTGGAATGGAAGAGAGAAGAGACACAAAGGATCGAAAATGCAAAATAGAAGAGAGAGTAGATCTTAGAAGACTTGCAGATGGAGATAAAAAGAGCATGACTAAAAGTGGAGCAGAACAGTTATAGATGAGGTCCTGAAGCCAGAGGGTTGCAAGTGTCTAGTAAGAATGAAATCCCACGAGAAACGGAGAGGTGAAGGGATTTCAAATCACATTATATGAACGGAGAGTGTGAAGAGGTGGGAAACAACAATCACTCCTCCCCACGTCTTTTTTGACGCGTTAGTATTGAAAGGATGCGTCCGCTGCATTCCCACGTTCCAAAGCACCTTCAATGTTCAAATGACAACTCAATTTTTCGCCAACCGAGCATGCCGACTACTGGGAATCATGAGCAGCCGAATACTCGGAGGGTAATTGTGGGAGCCGAAATTAGATAGAAGCCCAAAAAGAGGGATGAGGCCCAAGCAAGTCCAACCCAGCTATGCCCAATCTTAGATCGGCCCATTGGACAAATCTGTTGGGCTGAATCAGAGCCGCGTAAACATTGTAAGTCTCTCTAAATGCCGAATAGAGGGATGTTCGCTCTGTATGCCAAAGCCGAGTAGTCTAGGGTAGTCGGCGAGGCCCCACTAGACAACCTTGTTGTCCCATTCGAAGAAAGCATGATAAGTAAGTGGGACCAGGAAAAAACTCTATAAAAATGGAAAGGACATAATTTACACTTTAAGTAAGATAAAATATCAAATCTTATGGGAGAAAAACTGACTGAAGTGTCAGAGTGTTAATTCCGGCACCATCAACTGGAATTGTTTATCTGTTTTAGGTGACATTAAAGGGATCTTTCAAGCCCGTCTGGATTCAAGGATTTTTTTCAAATTTAGTTTCCCACACACTTGATGATAGTATTATCAATGCCATAAAAAAAGACAACAATCAAACTTGCCAATTTTAATAAATCAAAAATATTAATTTTAGCACAAATTCACCACAAATCAAAATCTCTAAGTGCAACTTATCAAAACCACTAATTGTAGCATAAACAATCACAAATAAAAATCGCCAATTGTAGCCAATCAGACTACATCATTTTTAAGAACAAATAACCATAAAATCAATATATCTAATTTTTATGTGAGAGAGAAAGACAAGAAGAGAGGATGTTACTTGTAAGCAATGTGTTGTTTGTGTACTGTAGAGTGAGAAACAAGCAGAGCCCCAAATTGAATCAAATGTATGTCTTCACTGCATTTTCAATGAATGAAATAGTCAAGTTAAAAAAAAGAAAAGAAAAGAAGCTAACCATAGGCAACAAAAGGGGAGAGAGAGAGAGAGAGAGAGAGAGAGAAATAGTTATATGGAGAGAGAAGGCTGATAGAGTCGTGTTGCTGCAGATCGTTGGTGAAGTCGATGGAATCCACACAAAGAGCAATGCCTTTTTTTTTCAAAAAAGCAAAGAGAATAAAAATATGAAGGGAGCAAGGATCTAAATCGCGGTATCGGGTAACGTAACGGTATCGATCGCGGAGTATCGGTATCGGTAGTATCGATCGGTACGTATCGGGAATCGGGTGTCACGGTGGTGAAATTTTAAAAATCATTTCAAAGGTATTTCAACTTTTTCTTTTCCGTACCGGTCCGAACCGGTGAGTATCGGCCCGTCGCGGCTTGTGTAACGGCTTGTGTAACGCTTACAGGCCGATACGTACCGGGACTCGGCCGATACTCCTGTGATTTTCAATCTCAGTGGTATATCGACCTGTATCCGTCGCGGTACCCCATTTTTCCATACGTATCGGCCGATACGTAGCGTATCGACCGATATTTAGAACTATGGAAGGGAGAGAGGCGAGACCTGATAGGAAATGGTGGGTGCGGAGTCACGCCACGTGATCGGCGAGGGCCACATCTTGTAAGTTGTATGTGCATAACTTCATTATGATGTGTAAAATTCCCGGTACGTGGGTGCATTAAATAGTTTGAATATTTGATTTTTTTAAAATCTAATTTTACAAGTAAAATGTGAAACGTGGATAAGAGTTTACATTTGATAATTTTTATAGAAACATCATTTTCTTGCAAAATATTTGTCAGAAATAAATTGTGTCATCAGATCTCAGAGTCGTCACTTAATATTTTGAGAAAATTAGAAAACGCATAATTCATGCAAAGGCCATTGTTCGTCGTAACCAAGGATACTTGGCTCGGAACCTTAGGTATGAGGGAGAAGGTCATTAATTGAGTACCCCGCTCACCCCGGTCAAAAAATCGGCCTCTACTAAACCATGATATAATTTTTATTTACGTCACATGTTTTTATTCCGATTATTTAATAAATATTAAAGCTTACTATGTGAAACAAACCAATATATACCATGTCATTCATTTTGTAACGATTTGATTTTATGCATTTTGAAAGGATTTTGAGATTTGTATAACTCACAATTAAATTGAGTCTACATTTATGAAAAATCAATACTGTCCCAAATTAAATGTCACTACCTCTATCCACTGGCATTCATAGAGATATGTCACATAAACAAGTAGCCACATGGTAGAATGTTTAACATAATAAGAAAAACACACACAAATGGAATGTTAAAGTACAAAAACTTACATATTTACCAACTTTCCGCAAATAAGTGCAAAACAAAATTAGTAAAACATGTATGATATACAAAATCATAATACCATACATACACAAAATGCGAATAGAGATTGGGCTACTAAAACATGACATGTGAGTCATCTCAAGACATGAGGTACCACACAAAATCACATAAGAATTAATTAAATTCACAGGAGCAAATGTGCCGAATATAAATGTATGGAATATGGATTTAAAGCATGGATATGACGAAAAATAAAATATGATGCTATGTACAGATATGGAAAATGAGTAAATAAAAGGGATAGACAGAAATGGGGTTTGAAGACATACATAAAAAAAGGTAGAAAGAAGCGGGGGTTGGGAACTATTACAACACAGAATAATTACAAAACTAAATAAAAGACGTGGGATTGAGAGATTATTATAACACAAATCGAATCTAACAAATCATAGCAATAAGATTAAAAAAATAAAAAATAAAAAACATATTATTCATTCGCCAGTACTGTTCACCGCCAACAGTACTATTTATCAGGATAGTTACTATTCACCTTCCTTGGTCATTACTCATCTTATCGAGCATTTTTTTTATCCAGGGTACTATTTATCGCCGGAGATACTATTCATCGTCGGGAATTCACTACCGAATGTGCTATTCACCATTGGAAATTACCATTCACCGCCAATTGCTATTCATCCGGTGGGGTCATATTTTTAACAAATTAGGTGATTTTGACCGACCATTTAAAGTAGCAAATTACAACAGTTTATTTAGATAGGGTGGCACCGACCATTCAAAATGATAAATTATAACAGTCTATTTAAAGTAATAAAGTACAACAGTTTATGTACAATAATAACTATCACATATTTAAAACAATAAAAAAATACATGAAAAGAAATGAAAAGAAATCGAAGGCTCAGCCTTTTACTTTCATAATCTAAATAGTATCACAATTTAAATAGTATCACATATTTAAAACAGTAAAGAAAATGCAAGAATATAAATGAGAATATTGCAAAAATTTACCTTTGAAAGAAATGATGAATTTTTTGATTATCAAACTTTCTTCTTTGCACCCTCACGGATATGATGCATGCTTTGGAATCTCAATCAGATGTTTCAAATATAGGTTTTATGGAGTTGTTGGATAAAAAGATTGATTAAAACAATTTTGATTTTTAAAAATCAATTCCCTCAAAAAATTTTAAAAATAAATTTTTTTTTTTCTTTACTTTTTCTCTTCCACATTGAACTTCTCCAGCTCTCTTTGCCCTCTTTTTTCCTCACTCTTTTTTGACCCTCCCAGCTTCTGTCCTCCTCTTTTTCGTTGTTTTTTTTTTTCCTTCTGATTGCCCTTTTTCACAGCTCTTCTTTTTTTCCTTGATTCTTGTTCCTCCCCTTTGATTGCCTTATATAAGCAAAAAGTAGGAAGAAGTAAACAAACAAAATATAATATAGTAATATAAATATTATATAATATATATATATGCAATTGAATCTAACAAGCGGGGAGGTCGGTACCGATAGTCAAACTCTCCCTACAAACAAACAAACTATATACATATAATATAATAAATATTTAATATAATATATATGCATTATTTGTTTGGATTTGCAGTAAATATCACATATTTAAAACAATAAAAAAATACAAAAAAATAAATAAAAAGAAGTGAGAGACTCAACTTTTTACTTTCAAAATTTAAGTATCACATGTTTAAAATAGTAAAGAAAATACAAGAAGATAAATGAGAATGTTAGAAAATTTAACTTTGGAGGAAAGGATAAATTTTTTGGTTATCAAACCTTCTTCTTAGACCTTCACGATTATGATGTATGTTTTGAAATTTCAGTTAAATATTTCAAATTTAAGTTTTATGGAGTTGTTAGATAGGAAGATTGATTAAAACAATTTTGTCATTTCAAAATCAATTCTCTCAAAATTTTTTGAAAATAATTTCTTTTATTTTTCTTTCCCACGTTGAACTTCTCTAGCTCCCTCTCCCTCTGCCCTAGTTCTTCCATACTCTTTTTTGACCCTCCCAGCTTCTATCCTCTATTTTTCGTTGTTTTTTTTCCTTCTGATTTCCACCTCTCACAACTCGTTTTTTTTCCTTGATCCTCCTCATTCCTCTCCCTTTAATTGCATTATATAATTAAAAATTTGGAAGAAACAAACAAACAAAATATAATATAATAATATAAATACTATATAATATATATATATATACATTTACATCTAAAAAAGAGTGTATCATATTATGATCAAATGACTTTCTGTCATAATTTAATGGATCAAAACCAAACACCTTTAAAACATAATTAAAGAGCTCTCATAACTCAATTATAACCAACACCACTAGGGGCGGAACGATGGATTTTGTTCGAGAGGGGCTAATGTATATGCATAAAAAATATTGAATTGGTTTTGATACATTAGTAATTGAATATAATTTTTTATACAAGTGTTGCTAAAGAAGTATTTCCATATTCTAGTTAACAGTTACATGTATGAATATGTTACTTTTTAATTGAAGAAGACTGGTTTGACAAAGTAGACTTTCTAATTTATGTTGTTTTTGTTTTGTTCATTGATTATTCTATATATTATAATACAGACACATGGCGGAGGTATCAAGTGGTTCTAAATTTGTTGGCTTAAATGAAGGTCATAATGAGATTGAAATAGAGAAGGCAAAAAGTGTAGAAGATCCTAAAATAGGAATGTTGTTTGATTCCATTGATGACCTTGTTCAATTCTATCAAATGTATTTCACCCAAAAAACTGTGTATTTTTTTGGTTTTTTAATTTATAATTTACCCCCTAAAAAAAAAAAAAAAACTTGATTTCAAATTCTTGAAAACTATTTTTTGCACTAAAATAAAAATAATGAACGATATCAAATTTTTTATTATTTTTATTTTATAATATATATAATATAATATATAAAATATTTAAAATGTGTAATTTATATTAATTTATATAAAAATATTAAAAATATGAATAAATACATAAAATTGTATAAAATTACAAAATACTAAACTAATAAATATATTTTAGTAGTTTAAAATAATTTGGCCAAAACGGTGAAGGTTAAAATTAAAAATTAAATTCGATTCTTTTGTTGAGAAAATCACAAAATAATATATTTCAATTTTTATTATTGACTGGTCAGAAGAAAGTGTCCATGTCTTAGGGTTAGTCAAAATAGAGTGTCTACATAAAGCAATAACAATCTTGTAAAATAAAAATAAAAAAAACAAAAAACAAAAAACAAAAGCATTAAATATTAAAAAAATTACAATTTCAAAATTTTGTTTATATATTTTAAAATATATTTTCATATTATTTTAGAAAACACGTGATTGTCCTGATGCCCAAATAAAAAATAGGTGTAAATAAAATTGAACATTATGAATTCTTTAAAATAATTTCTTGCCCTATCAAATCTAATTGATTTAATTAATAATTATTGATTTAAATGATTCACAACAGAGTAAAAAGAAGTTATCAATAATCGGAGATAGTACGTAAGATAGTTGTTAGTCACGAGATGTAGTGACCAAAAATGGTTGTCTCTGATAGAAGAGGGTTGGTAGTAACTCAAGGTGATTGTTAGTCACAAAAATTAGTGTTCGAAAGTAATTATCGATAGTTAGAAATGGCGGCTAAGGCCACCTCAGATAATATTTAATGAAAAATTAGTAAAATATTTCTCTCCAATTTTGAGTAATAAGAGAGGTGAAATATATTGTCGACAAAATTGTTAAAAAATTTAATCTAACAATTGCGTAAGGTATTAGGTTTAGTGAATATTTTTGGTTGGTGAGAAGTCTACAATTTGTAAAATAGTTTGGTGAGAAATTCTTTTATTGTTTTGGAGGACATTTTAGTTTCAATTTTATCCTTTAACTTATTTGTTGAATTTTTTTATCAATTCAATTTTTTTGAATCTATCCGCTGAATTTTTGATCTATCTGTTAAAATTCACTAAACTTATTTTTAATCTATCTACTCAAATTTTGAATCTATATATTGAAATTCTTTTTATCTGTTGAAATTTATCAAGATAAAATCTATTACAAATTTTTATCTACACAAATGGATTTCACAAACCTACGTTTTTTCTTTTTCTATCTCTCTCCCAGTCTCTCACTTATCCTCGTCTCTTTATCTCTCTATCTCTCTATTGGTTTCAAGTCTCAAGTTCTCACTCACTCTCTTTCTCGCTTTCTCTCATCTCTCTCTCTCCCTCTCTCTCTCATCTCTATCTCTCTCTCTCTCTCCACAAATACACTTTTTCTTCTCTCTCTATCTATCTCTTTCTCGCTCTCTTACTTCTGCTCAAGGTTTTGAAAAGCGGTTGTAGTCGCCGTAACGATGACGGTGGTGCGGTCGCGGAATGTAAAGGCCGTAGCGTAACGGTAGCGGTAACCGAAATCGTGAATTTTTTTACTTTTTGCTCAATTTGAAAAAAACTTACAGATACGCATATTTTTTTTACATGATCATATTTATTGGGTTCTAAAATAAATATTGATCAATTTTTATAAATTTTTAAGTATGATCCAATATATTTCATACTTTTAAATCACTACAAAATGAGTTTTTTTACATTTTATTTTAAAATTAATGACTTTATATTATACAAAAAATCAATTACTAATTATTATATATAAAATAAACAATGACAAAAGTAAGAGAATAAATAAGAATCTAAATATATATGTATATATATTTTTTAATGAAGCAAAATAGATAATGATCACACTTATTATTATTCTTATTATTATTATTATCAAACAATATATAGATAGGCACACACAAACAAAATGATTTAGTGATAGTAACTGAATAGAATAGTATAGGTATTACAGGTTCAACAAATCAATAACATGTTCTTCATATTCTCTCTTCTCTCTTCTCTCTCTCTCTCTCTATTTTTTATTCCTTCATCTTTTCCCTTTATCTTCCCTCTTCTTTTTCTATCCCTCTTCTTCTATCTTCAGTTTTTTTTTTTTGTATGTGTTTTTTTTAAAGGAATTTGGAACCGTTATGTAACGGTGTGTAACAGCCTAATAGACTGTTACGGTTATTACGGCACCGTTACGACCGTTATGGCAGCCGTTACGGTTAACACACCTATAAATTTCAATCACACTGTAAAAGCGACCGCAACGGGTGACGATAATCACCACATCCGTTGCATAACGATTGTGGCCGCTTTTTAAAAGCTTACTTCTGCTTATCTTTCTATTTTCTAGTAACCTTTTGTATGCTTCTCAGTTTCATCTCCACCGTCTAACAACGCCTCCGATGGCTTCAAGCTTCCGGAGAAGTACAAACTTATAAATCAAAGCAAAAAATGTGTATAATGTCAGTGATCTCATCATAACTCAGCAATTCACAACACCATATATGTTTTTCCAACCAAACAAATCATTATAATAACTTGAAACCTAAAAGAAAACAAACTTGTACAATTATACATATATATATATATATATATATACATAAAGGTAAATCATTGTGAAAGCGAATTTCAAGCAAGTGAGAGCATTAACAGCGGCAGAAATTGGGTTCGCATGCCAAAAATCAATGAGATATTTATTATTTCCTCAATTTCAACGTTAGATAAGCAAATTGAACTGTCTATGTGCATGTGAGCACCCGAATACAAACATAAAGTAAATAATTAAATAATAATAATTTTATAATTTCAAATATTTTGATGGTGAATCTCTAAGTACAAATTAAATATTATTGAAGGGTCTTTTAATTAATTTTAAATTTAAAATAAATTTATACTAAAAGTCTTTAATTTAGAGGCAACGTTTATTATAAAAAAAATAAAAATAAAATAGAGAAGAAGGAATGGTTTGAACTCAAGACCACAAAATTAATAAATAAGACTCTTACCATTTGAGTTGTATATAACTTATTTATATATTTATCTATTTATTTGACATGCACACGCATTATGTGTGCCCACCACTAGTATAAAATAAAATTAATACAAACCCTACTCTCTTATTTGTTCACCACATAGGGCGGCAGCAGCAGCCACACTACCACGGGAGAGAGATTGACAGAGAAGGGGAAAAAAAAGAAGAAGAAGTTGCAATCAAAGAAGAACTTTTGTGTGTGTAGTAGGTTTCTAACATTCTTCTTTCTTTTATTTTTGTTCTTTATCCTTATTCTATTTTATGACTTAATTCATTGATGGAGAGATTGTAGGTTTATGTATTTTGTGTATATATGTGTATATTGTTAAGAAATCTGAGGAGTTAAATTCATATATAAAACATGAATGTAATTCTTAGTCCAAAAATTCTGTACAGAATCACAAATTTTAAAAATCGAGGAATCATATAAAACAGATGAATTTTGAATTGAAATTTTTATAAAGATTAATTACATATTGAATTACATACCAGAATTTTCTTATAATTTTTGGGAGTAAAAATCCATATAAACTAATGCGTTCAAATCTATCCAGAAAACTAGTACAAAACAGTAACTTCGAAAGTGTCGTTCTCTTTGGATATAAATCCAAAAATTATCAAATTACCATCATTAGAATCGGTTACGAGTCTAGTTTCTTACATTTTTTGCCTTGTGTTAATGTCTTGTGTATACTAATAGAACCATTAATTTCTTTAAAGTGCTGTAGAAAACAACCTGTTTGGATATAATTAAGTGTAAATAATTATTTTGACAAGCAAATCAAGTAAAACTAATTGGATTTGAAGCTTAGGATATATTAGTTGATATCTGGTGGGTTTTGGAATTTTTCAAATAGAGTGGAGTGGGTTTTGTAATTTTCAAAGCTAGCAAATAGATTGGAAAAGTTGGTTTAAAATTTTGTTTTACCTTAAAGTTATTTTCAATTAAGTTTCGATTTCAACCCATGTCTTGGGTAATTTTAGAACTTGAAGAACCTGAACTTAGGTATTATTTAAGAGTAACAGTGCGTGGGGTTGAACTTTGTTAGTGCACTTTAGTGTGGGGTACTTAGTGTATTATTCTCTTTAGTATTTTTAAATTAGTAGTGACGTGTTGTTTTCATACCTAGTTCAGGGCACTAGTTGGACTTTCATACTCTATTCGAGGATTATATTATTTCCTTTTCTGGTGAGTAGTTGCATACTACATATTTTTATAAATGTTCTCCTACCCTGAATTGTTGGAAAATTTAATTATTGTTTCAGGACTAAATTGTTTTGATAAATTATTATATTATTAATGGAATTAAATTATTTCTAAAACATGTGTAAATTTGGCATACTGTAAACTATTTGTTTTGATAAATTATTATGTTATCAATGGGAATAAATTATTTCTAAAACATATGTAAACTTGGCATACCGTAAACTATTTGTAATAGTCTCATGTTTATAATGGTGAATAACTATGTTTTGCAAAACTGAATTATATTGATTATCGGGACCATCTGTATATTTTAGTCTAGGGAAATTATTCCATTGTGTGTGGTGACTCTGGCCACTAGGGAATAGATTTGGGTTGGACGTGATGACTCTAGTGCTCAACAATTGTAAGGAAAAAATCTAGCCTAGGCTAGGCTAGGTGACCTTCAAACGGATCGTCTTAGAGAAAAAGCCCAAGTTACCACCCCGAGGATGACTCTTAGTTCAGTATTGGATCCAACATGCTTATTGCCTTGAGAACTGTGTGACATGTTACTTGTTATTCTTGGCACCCAGAAAATTATTGGTGTTCAAATTGTAATCTGTTTTAAATGGAAAATGTCATTTATCATGTTCTTGAGAGACATGAGTATTTTAACTATTGAACTATGAAACCTTCTTTTTGAAACAGATTATCTTTATTAAAAGTGTATGTCAATCTAGTTTCTGTGATATATATCTTATTTTAGAATTGAACCCTATTTTCAAAACAGTATTTACTATACATGTTGCTACTCACTGAGCTATCAGTTGACTTAGTTGTTTATCACTTCCAGGTGTTAGAAGGACTTTAGAGTGGACTCACGGCGTAGCGAGGACTCAGTTGTATGGACTTCTAGGACATTCATTATATTGTTTTAGCTTGTTATGTCAGTTTTGTGCATATATTGTAACAACCCACATTCATGTCCTAGTCATGTTTGCATGCATTTATATGTTTTGTCATGTTAGGTTGCTGTAACAACCCATATTTATGTCTTAGTCATGTTCATGAGCATTTGTATGATTATGACTCGTTGAGCTTGCATTTGTATGTTTATGACTTGTTTTGCCTAAGTAAGATCCATGCCTTGTTTTGATGTCTATGTGATTTGTCTAAGTGTTGTGTGCTTGCTTTGTTCCTTCCTTGGTACCCCAAGCCTAAGTTATGTTAAGCCGAAGTCATGCCAAGCCTAGGTTATGTTACGCCTAGATCATTCCAAGCCGAGGTCATCTTTGGGTGCACGTGGGTTTCTTGGCCCACGGTTTTGTTAAAACCTGCAATGGTTTTTTTTTTTTTTTTTTTTTTGATTTGTTATTTATTTTAAAAATTAAAAAAAGAAAGATAAAAGAAAATAAAGAAAGTGGAGCAACGGAAGTGGACAGCTGTGGTGAAGATTGGGTTTAAAAAATAAAAAGGGGTATGGGTATGTGCAAAAGGTGGTGGATGATGGGTTGGAAAGTGGTCACCCTGGTGGAGGTCCTTGAGTAGAGAGGAGAGAGAGAGAGAGAGAGAGAGAGAATCCAATCACAAAATCCGAATGTTCCTCTCGGCAATTTTCACAGCGGCAGCTGTGTAATCTCCCGTGGTGAGGTGACCCGCCGAACTCATTTCAGCCAGCAGTAAGGGTTACCAATCAGTGATTTCATAACTCTTCTTCTCACACAGTCTTGCTCATGTCTCTCGAATCTTCATAAAACCACGCAGTAATTCTCGCTTGTAGTGGCAATCACCACTGAAATGACCAGCCTGAATCTCACATTATCTCCTTATCGCAGTGAATGGCCGCGATGAACTTGTCCCAAAACTGCATCCAGCTTTCTCCACATGTTCCCTCAAAAATTTCACCATTGGAGTTATGGTACTCTTGGTACTTCTGTTAAAGCTGCTGTTGTTTATCTTGGAACAGCATTAGTGAAGCTTGTTTGCCTGGCAACCTTTCTTAAGGTGTCTGAAAATGACAGCTTTGATCCATATCAGGAACTTATTGAAAGCTCTGATTGGCTTTATAGACGTTGCTGGGCTTTACTTTGCATTGACCCAGTTGACTCACAGGAACATCTCTCAAAATCATAAGTTCCAAGCGGTAGGAACTTGGGTGGGCTTTTGCCGACTCGGTTCTGCATCGGTTGGCACCCTTTGGGTGGGTGCTAGAGGATTAGAATTTACTTGGGACTACATTCTACAAGGCCTTGAAGCGAATGCAAATCTGGTGTTGAGTATATCTCTTGCTGCTGTTGCTGCTGTATTTGTTATGAATGGTCCATTATGAGCAGCCTTGTGCCATTCATCTTCCATGCAACAGAATGTGGTGGTGAGGTGTATGGAAGGAGAGAACCAGCCCGAGAGAGAAGAGGTTGGTCTGTCTGTCTAGCTATGCTGGGTGTCCCGCCTGCATGGTGTGTGTTTTGCCCATCATTGTTGCAGACATGGTGTTTGACGAAATATCCCAGAGGGATTTTGGGTTTGTTTCGGCGAGGTGGTGAAGCAGAGTGAAGGTATGTGTAGAAAATTCTAGCGGATTAGGTTGAGGTCTGGCGGCGGCCAAGGCGAGGTTGCCGCCCGCCGGTGAAGCGAAAAAATACTAAGTTCTTAACCTTGCTCTGATACCATGTAAGAAATTTAATGTATAAAGAGAAATGATTGTATTATTGATTGATGTATATTGTGTATTATTACAATGATTCATGATTCCTAA